ACAGGCGTGCACCACCATGCCCAGCTAATTGTTGTATTTTTAGTAGAGATGGGGTTTCACCATGTTGACCAGGATGGTCTCGATCTCTTGACCTCATGATCCACCCGCCTCAGCCTCCCAAAGAGCTGGGATTATAGGTGTGAGCCACCGCACCCAGCCACCTAAAACTATTTTAATGTAACTGTTTCACTTTAATCAAGGAGGAAAAGAGTGAACAGTGATGCCAATATATCACATCTAGAATAGAAAATATTTGTGTTAATTTTTGGATAGCCTATGATAATATCACATATGGCTGCCTTATAATCCCAGTAAACTGAAGTTGTATCTTAATACTTCAGAGTCAACTTCAAGATTTTTATTGCAAAAGTTAGACAATTCTTGATTTTATGTTAGCATGAACAAGCTCGTTAGCTTAATAAAATGTGTAAGCAATTAACAAAAGCATCACATGTTCCAGAGCAGAATAATCCATTAGATACCAGAAACACAAAATGTGGTATTATAAGCAAATTGTGTATCTAAACAAATACATACTAATAGATGTGGTATATAAACCAAACATGGTACACAAACAAAATGAATGGATAAATAAAATGTGGCATATACATACAATGAAATATTATTTGGCTATAAAAAAGAATAAAATTCTGACATATGCTATAACATGTATGAACCTTGAAGACATTGTGGCTAAGTGAAATATGCCAGACGCAATAGGATAAATATTGTCTGATTCCACTTATACAAAATATTTGGAGCAGGCAAATTTAGAGACTGAAAGTAGATTAGAGGTTACCAAGGGCAATAAAGGAGAAGGAGACAAATGTAGTATACAAGACAAATGTACTAGACTAATACAAGATGTTAACAATAGGAGAAACTGGGTGTGGAACATATGGGAACTCTGTACTATGTAACTTTTTTGTAAATAAAAAACGTTCTGAAACAAAACATTTATTTAAAAAAAAAAACAGGATGACATCCACCCTCATAAAAATTTACCCTATAAACAGATAAACACACATTTTGAATTTTCTAAGTGCTAAAAATTATACTTACTACAAATTCAGTAAATCAAACTGAACTAAGTTTATAACATCCTTGTAAAATCCGTGGTGTACAACGACAATTTTGGAAAATCTGTTTTGTGCTATAGTGGTAAAATACAGGTTACATAGCCTTGTGTACTTGAAGAAAATTACTTAAGCAACTGTAAAATGGTTAACACTGCAGTATAAACCAAAATATTTTTGGAAGAGCAATTTGAGAAGAACTTTAATAAATAAGAACTGTTCATACTTTTACCAACTTTTTCAAGGATGCCATCATATAGAAATCATAAAACTACTTGTAAAAAGATACAAGGAAAAGTTTTCACCGCACCATTTTTTGTGAAAGGGACAATCTAAAGTCTTATTGATAAAGAAATGTTAAATTATGTTACATAAAATATGATAGCCATGAACTTTCATTTCACACTAACAGCCAAGTATTCTGATGCATAGTCCAGAGTCACATGTTAAACACCAAAATTGATGCTTTAAAAACATAAAATTGAATGAATTGTGTATGAAAAGAGGTCCTGTTAAAGTCATGCAAAGACCATGGCAAGGCAGACAACTCTCTATGAATATGACAGTCATGACACACCCCATAAAAGTTACTTATGACTCAACCAAAAACACAAGCAGTATGCAGCAATGGGCATGCAACAAAGTACAGATCATGAATTATCAGAACTGTTTCTAATATAGCTCTGCTACTGTTATTATATTACATGCACTCTTATTAAAAAGCATCCTATATTAACTTTAGTAAGTAAATTTTCTGTTACAAAGTCCATATAGGCATTTAT